AAGATTGATTTGCTCAAACGAACCACCACCTTGAGAGAGCATGTTAAGGGATAAAATCTATATCTATAAAAATTTAGATTAATTTATAAGGGATTGAGTTACTTCTCTTAATAAGATTGACCTTTTAAGATAGAACTCCAAATTTTAATACTAATTACATATGAATGCATATGACAATGCTAGAAATTAACTTTGTACTTGCCTCCACTTGGCGACCTGCATGGAATGGTGTACTTCCCAGGATATTCCTGGCTGGTGCAGCGGGAGATGTACTCCCCGTGAATGGCCAAGAAAGTCGAGAAAAGAATGAGGTTATAAATTCGGGAAACTGAAAGGAAAGAAGTGCATTAAAAGTCATGCATATATAGCAGCTTCAAGAACTAAAATAACACTTCATGCTGTTTTGCCAAAGGCAAGGGCATATATAAAGTGGACAAAACTAAATAGAAAAAAAATGAACCTTAATCCTGCGGACGTGAAGAACATTTAAGCGATAAAGGGAACCTGCAAGAATACCACAGATCCCAGGTACCATAGATTTTTTCCAGGATGACAGAAGAAGCTGCAACATAAATATGCAAAGAATATATGGGGCATTAGATTTTGAGAAGTACCCAAAACTGGGAAAAGAAAAGAAGAAAAAGGACAAAGTCATGCTTAGTATCCATTACCTGAAGACCAGCTAAATAAATAAAAGTCTTGTCGGAAAAGTGGAGGCTAAACACTCGAAACCTTGTTGTAACCGGAATGTCAAAATAGAAGGGTATAAACGAAGAAAATATAAGACTGTAGGGTCCTGATGTGAGTACAGTCAAGGTGGGATCTGCCAGATAAATAAGTATTAAGGATCAGAATAAAAACTATCTTCATCTGTATAAATGGAAATAGGTGAATATATATTTCAGATAGGTTATTGTCCATCATTCCAGTGCACCAGAATCCCACTATCCCGTGAGCAAACAGTAAAAAAAAAACAATGAAATGGAGGAGATATGAGAAAAAACAAGTGAAAAAGCCATAAATTTTCCACTATTTTCTTTTCTTTTGTTCTTTTACCTTTACAGATGAGCCTCCAACCATGTGTCAAGAAAGTTAATGTTACAAGCTCTTTACATTGTCAAATCTACTTGGAAGTGACCCATTAGACCTTGTTAATCTAATAATAGCAGTTATCCAATTTAGCGTCAATCAACGAGAGTATGGGTATAATTATTTCAAGGAAAAAAGAATACTCAAGCCAGTTTCATATGTGGTGTCAAATGACTAAACAGTCTTGCATTTCACAAATAAATTGCTAAGGATACTCTATATTTAACGTCATAAATGTAACTTTGAGCAGCAAGCCAATAGAAGTCACTAAAGAA